CCCCAAAACCCCAAAACCCCAAAACCCCAAAACCCCAAAACCCCAAAACCCCAGTAGTATTTAGGTGAGATGAAATTAAAAATAAATAACATAAATGGAAAATCAATTATCCCCTCTAGTTAAAAAGCCTTGAGCTAATCTTAAAGAAGCAGGGCAAGTACTTATCCAAAGACATGCGAGGTCTTTGGCTAACGAAAGCTATGCGAAGATTAAAGACCTCTCCGATTTTGAAGAGGTTTCGAAATGGATTTGAGATCCCAAATTTAGAGACCCTAAGCTCTCGGAAACTGGGCATCATCAATGTCGTGAAGCTAGACCACTTGTCAATGGTCTAAAAATTCACACAGTGTTTGTTTCTCCCATGAGGAGAACTCTCGAGACAGCTTATCTCGTATATCACACTCATCCAGATTTTAAGAACATTCGATTCGTTATTTTACCGGTGATCCGAGAAAGCTTAAATACTTCTTCAGATATTCCGTCTGATATTGACTTTATCGTTGAAGAGTTTAGAGAGCTAATTCCTCAATTAGATGATTCACTCCTTGAAGCGTACTGAGACAGGAAACACTACTTCATTGAAGACCTTCAAGATGAAGTCAAGAATGTCATCCAGGCAGAACTCGGTGAAAACACTGAAGACCCCCTCGGTAGCAATGCTTATGACCTCTTTATAAGAGAGTCCAAGAAGATATTCCCAGCGAGGCTGGAATCTAGGTGGAATGTTTATGACAGGTCTGTCAAAACTAAAAATTTTGTCAAGAACTATATTAAAAATTATCATATTCCAAAGGACCAGAAGATTATCCTTCTTGCCCACTGAATCTATTTCTATATGCACACAGGCAAATGGGACCAGAAATGAAGCAGGAAGGAGGAATTACCCTATCCAGCTGAGTTTATCCGAATGAAGAACTGTGAAATCACTGAAGATCCTTCGGAGTACGACGTCTAGCACACGTATTTAACTAATCTATTTAAAATACGAATATATCAACTTATTCTCATTTAAAAGGGGTTTTGGGGTTTTGGGGTTTTGGGGTTTTGGGGTTTTGGGG